CCCTGATGCTGGGCAGTCCCTGTATTATTCCACTGAGCGCTGCTGGAGAGACTTCTGGTGTTGGGGTGATGATGTCCACAGCAGACTGGGGTGGGCCCAGCAATCCTGCCACCTGGTCTTAGAAACTGCCACTGCCCTCCTCCGCCCTCCCCCACCATCCACTTGGATGCAGCTTATATAAATATGCATCTGCCATTTCTGGGCCGTCCGTGATCAAATGTCCCTGTGCGTCCAACTGTCGTGTGTCCTTTCCTTCTGCCCCTGAGGAGCCAAAGCCTCCCCTAGCCCCACTCCCGCTCCCAAGTGCTACCCCCACCTTGCTGCTTCTCCACCTGCGCCTTCCGCCTTCCCACTCTCTCCAGTCTCTCAACACTGCCTCCGACTCCTTAAGAGTGAATGAGTCAACTCCCAAAGACGTTTCCAGTCCTCTCCCCCTCTTTCCCTCTCCCCGCTCTTTTTGAAACATTTTTTCCTAAGATTTCCCATACCCTGACACCAACTTGCCTTTGGGGAAATTTTAATGTGCAGTGTTTGGCAGATGTTACCTGCAAAAGTGTTTGTGCTTTCTCAAAGAAAAGTGCTGTACTTTGGGAAATGCTTCTTAATTCCGATTTCAAAACCGTAACTGACTTCTCATCACTCCCACTTCATCTAGGCCTGGCACCTGGGACGGATCAGGCTTGCTTTCCGTCAAGCCCACAATCACTACTCAATGTGGACTGGTTGTGAGGCAAGCTCTTTGTTAAGCACACGAGGGCAGGATCTGGAACCTGGGTGTGCATCCTTTGGCAACTAACCTCACCTGTCTCAGCCTTTAATTTCTCGTCTGTAAAGATGGGTAAGTCCTCCCTCCTACATTTGTTTAAGATCATTTATTCAGCCCACACACGTCATGAATAGCTACTACATGCCGTGAATAAAACAGATCTCCTTCCCTCTGTTTCAGACGTGAATCAGATCATCATACAAATATTTAATGACAGACCATGACAAGTTTGTAGATGTACGGAACGAGGACAGCATACATTAGGGGCACCTGGCCTGGCCAGGGGAGACAGGGCTGGGATCTGAAGGAGGAGTAGAAAAGAAGGAAGAGGGAACTGCACAGCGAGGGCCCGGAGGTAGGAGAGAACAAGCCATATTCCATTTGGGCTGAAGTTAAACAAGGTTGGAGGGGCCTACGGGAGTTTATTATCCTAGGATCCCTCCTGGGGCTTAATAAGGGCAGTGACGTGATGATCAGCTTTTACTTTTTTTTTTTTTAAAGGTTTTATTTATTCATTTGACAGAAACAGAGATAGCGAGAGCAGGAACACAAGCAGGAGTGGGAGAGGGAGAAGCAGGCTTCCCCCCACCCCGCCGAGGAGGGAGCCCGACGTGGGACTCGATCCCAGGACCCTGGAATCATGACCTGAGCTGAAGGCAGACGCTTAACGACTGAGCCACCCAGGCGCCCTCAGCTTTTACTTTTAAGAGGCTCACTCTGGCTGTCATACTGAGATCAGCAAGAGTCGTAAGCAGGGTGGCAGTAAGATGTGGCTGTGAGAGATCCCCAGGAACTTGACTTATATGTAGGACTAATCATCTGCAGTTTCCAGATTAAAACCAACCAACCAACCAACCAACCAACCAACCAACCAACCACCCCACCCAGAAGCTAGTTAGAAAGGTTAAGTAAGATGCCTAAGTCAATACATCTATATGGCATATGGCAGAGGCAGGGGACCATGACTCCAGAGCCCATTCTCTTAATCATGACTCAACCGTACCCAGGGCACTGTGGATTTTCATTGTCACAACGCACAACATTTCTCACAGCTGTTCTGGGTCAGGGCCAAGGCCTGACCACTCTTGCCCTAAAGGGGCTTTTATCAATAATTTACCACCCAGTTTGGGTTCCTGTTGACTTGCCTGACAACAGTATTGGTGGTGAAGACCAGAGGTAGGAGACGGGGAAAGCAGCAGAGAGTTCTACACCACTGCCAATGGAGCAGGCTCCTCACGGGGAAACAAGACCAGAATTGTCCTGTGAAGCAAGAACTTGCGATCAATTGAATCTGAAAAACATAGCCCCTACTGGCCATGGGTTACTAAGAGAAAATCACCTATTAACTGCGTGCTTACTGGGTACTCAGTGCACCTTCATTACTTAATTGCATGTCGGCTCTGGAAGCCACTGGAGAAAGGAGTCCTAATTCCCTCATTTCCCAGAGAGGGAAACTGAGGCCCGGGAGGGGAAGGAAATTGTCCAAAGTCGTACAATGAGCTACCGAGAAGAGAGAGGAACGGAACTCTCTACAGCACCAGGTGAAGAATACAAATAAAGAAGAGAAACAATTTTGTAACAGTTTAAGAGGACGGATATGAGGGTTAAATACTCGAAGAGCTTATCAGTGGACCGGGTACCTTTGTTTCGATAAAAGAGATCAGGCCAGGAAGTCGGCGGATGGAGCCCCTAAAAAAAAAACCTCTTCGGGCTCTGCTCCCCGAGGAAATGCGTCCTTAGCATCTCTTTCTCATCCACAGGCCCGAAAGCCCAGTGTCTCAGCGCGGCCGTGAAGTGGCTGGCCAAGAACCTGTGTGTTTGTTTTACAGGTGAGGAAGGCCGGGCCGACTCCCAGAAAAAAAGGTCAGAGGAAAGCGTTAAATCGATGATCTGTCTGCCCCTGCGAGTCCTCCCGCGGTCTCCGCTCCAAGGTCTCACGGTCTCAAGCGCCCGCCGCCCGACTGCTTCCACGCAGGGTACGCTTCACCCGGTTACTAAGGGAACCAAGCGCGGCCAGTCGGTTGCTAAGGGGAAGTCGCGTGGTAGAGGCACTCTGGGTGAAAGTTGATGGTCACGTGATAACATTTCTTGGGTGGGGAAATACTCCTACCACCAACCAGCAGTAGAAAAAACAAACGTTTCTCCAATCCGCACTTTCTATGGGCAGGGATATTAGTAGCCCCGCCTCTTCTCCGGCCCCTCCCCCCCGCTTGAGTGATTGACTCGTCTCTTGCCCAGTAATAGTAAGGATTCGCTAGATTGACCAAAATATAACTGAATCAAAACACACAGAGTCTCGTTCGGAGGCGGGCCAGGGAAGGTGCCGCTACGCCTGACGGAGATTCCTGTGACCTAGCTCGCCGCTCCGCCCAATCGGGCGCCGCGGAGTAGGCGGGGCTTCGCGAGGGAGGCGTAGGGGCCAATCGGAGAACGGCTAGGCAGACTCTGCCCAATAGGGACGCGACGAGGGGTGGGGTCAGGGGCCGGGCGTTCTGCGTTCGGGAGGGTGGGGCGGGGGCAAGTGTCAGTCAGGTCGGGAGCGCGACGGGGGACACCGGGGACCCGGGCGGCTGACAGGGGGCCCGGGCCGCTGCCGTGTTGTCCGCTCAAGATGGAGTTCCTCCTGGGGAACCCGTTCAGCACCCCGGTGGGGCAGTGCCTCGGTAAGGCCGCGCGAAGGGTGGGCCATCTGGGTGGGCGACGGTGGCGGCTGACGGGGCTGGTGAGGACCGCGGGCCCTCGCCGGGCACCGGTGCCACCCCACGGGCCGCCCGGGCATCCTTTACGTCGGGTGTCTGCCCACGGGCTGCCTGGGCCCTGCTCACGGCGCCGGTGCCAGTCTGCCAGGCGGCTCCCCGAGGCCCTGCTTGGACTCGGAGATGCTCCACGCGTCCCTCCCGATCTGGGCCCAGCCCCTCCCGGCTCGTGGAGGTGGTGCGGGCTGCCGGGGTCGGCTTGCCTCCTCGCCTGGTGCGAGGTGCCACCGAGTGCGCCCTCATTCAGGCTGCCGGTCTCGCTGCCACTGCCGCCAGGACCCAGTTCTCCCACACCCTTCTTCCCCCATCCTTGTCCTTCTTTTCAGTACCAGCAGCCCTCAGACCGGGCACCCTCCCAGAGAATACTCCCTGCTCTGAGACTTGCTAATTAGAGCTGCAACTCAGCTAGGCTGTGGGAGGGACTGGGATGGGGGGAAGGGTTCCCCGAGGGTGATTATCTTGCCAGGGGGGTGGCATCCCTGCACTGCCTCTGGGAAAGAAGGGAGGCCGTGTTATTTAATGATAAGAGCCCAGGACTGGGAGTCAGGAAGCCTGGGCTCCAGAAGGGGCTTTGCCAGTGACTCTTCCTGTATGACCTTGTGCAAGTCACTGCACTCTCTGGCTTGAGGTTTTCCCTGTCTGTCAGAATGAGGTGTTTGGAGGTGAGATGCGCTAGGTCCCTTCAAGTCCTAAAGTTTTGATATTCCTTAGTCTCTGCACATTGACTCTTGCTTCCCTGCTGTACTAAATTTGCCCAAAGCTGAGGTCTTTTGGTGACAGCGTAGAGAGAGGGGTACTCCTTACTACCTGGTAATCCTATATGGGGGCTCTGGGCACCTGGAAAAGGGCACCAGAGATGACTGGTATCCTGGGTAAGGAAAAACCCAAGGCTATGTGAATGAACACCAGAATGACCCCACTGTATGGGGTTTCTCTACTAAAAAAGCAACTTGCCTTTTCACCCAAGACAGGAACTTTCGCCAACCGATGAGCCGAGAATGTTGACTGGTTTCTTTTAAAACTGGGTTCCTCCTGGTTGGTGGATGGACCGGTAAAACGTCTTTGGAGTGGGGACCTTTGGTGTCCTTCTGGGCCTGGCTGGTTTAGGCTGTAGTGATTTGTTTATTTCCTGATTTACTTATTACTTTCTAGCTTACTTTGCAGCCGTTAGTGGGGTCTGGAAAATTATCGAGGCCTCTTCTGTTAGCTAACTGCCATTTGGGAGCCTTGCTTTTCTTTGTGGTGTAAGGTCTTTGATAGGGGATGATGGACACTGGGCCTGGGGTAAGCCTCTTCCCACCTTTACGGACTACCGTGTCTATGTAGATTTTCTTCCTTCTTTCCTTTCCTCAGGTGCTCTTTCTTTTCCGAAACCTCATTGCTCAGTTGGGTATTGAATCCCAATCAGTTATTGGAGGGAGCTGGTAAACTTGAGGGGATTTGTTTTCTTTTCTGTCTCCTTTAAAATAGGAAGCGCCACACCTTGGAAATGCCGGGGTAGCTGGTGAGGGGTAGAAGTTAAAGGACATTTAAAAATATACAGATATTAGGGATATGGGGGTACATATGAGTGGAAAGAGCATGATGCTTGTCAGGAAGGCCTGAGTTGAGTTTTGCCTTACCCATTTTTTGGCTGCGTGACCCTAGAAAATTGTGTGACCCTTCTGAACCTTAGTGTGCTGAGAGAGAGAGAGAAAGAGAGAGATTTCATACTCAGAGTAGTACAGTTTAAGTGAGATGACAGTTGCCGGGGACATAGTAGAGGCTCAATAAATTGTAGCTGTCACCGTTAACAACAGAAGAGTTAAGTTAGGGAGAGGGTATGGGGGGTAACTGGCCCATCTGTGACCTGTGAAGGAACAGGCCCCGGCAGCGCCAGCCCTTAGACAAGACACTTGACCCATGAAGAGAATGAAGCCTCCTGATTGCCAGTTGGTCATCAGGCAAGGCCCAGCTGATTTCACGGTTCAGATACATTAGAGGATAGAAGGAGGTTCTAATGTATATTCTGTACTGTTGTGACGAAGTGTAAAAGTGATTTTCATGGCATTTAGTATTGTTAGTATTCTTTTAAAAGTATTGCCAGGCGATTCACGGGAGAGAAGGGAGACAGAAATAAAACAAAGCTGATGAGTAAAAGCAGCAGCTCCAGCTTACACAGGGCAGATCTACAGCTATTACTTGCTTCATACAGCTGCTCTGTGGAGTTAAGTTTTGTTGTCCTCCCCACTTTAGAGATAGGGAAACTGAGGCTCAGAGGAGTAAAGCCACTGCTCATCTGGGAAGAGGGAGAGCTGAGATTTCGTAGCTATCCTGGTCCTCAAGGGATTTCTGGTGTCGAGAGAGAGAGAGAGAGAGAGCAGAGATGCTTGGAGTAACGATCACTAATAGAAGGCCACTGCCTAGTTGAGTGCTCAGTTGAGTAGGGGGGATGGTCAGTGCTCTTCGGAATCCAGAATTCAGAAGAGCTGGGGAGATAGGACTGGCTTCCTGGAGTCTGAGGGCTGCTCACGAGGGTGGCCGGGAATTCCACAGGCAGAGAGGAGGACACCCTGTGCCTGGGGACAGGTATATGAGGCAGGGAAGGGGGGGTGTGGGCACATCTGTGTTCACCAGTCTGAGTGGAACAGAGGTGGCGGTGGGGACAGTGGCAAGCTGGGTTTGGGCCCAGGATAAAGCCCTGGTCTTGGGGGCAGGGGGTGGTGTCAAAGATGACATTGCTTAGCTGACTCCAACTTTTAGCTTCTCTGGTCCTCATTTTACCCACTCGTAAAATAATACCTCTCAACGGCTGCATAGGCCTTGCACTGAAACAATCCCACCAGCCCAGTTCAGTCAGCCTTCTGAGTGCCTGTGGGTGCCAGGCTCTGGGATACAGATGTTTAAAAGCTGCTCTCAGGGAGCCTTCATAGAGGTAACACGTTCACCAAAGGTGTGCTAGAGCTGCAAAGTGTTAGGCTGGTAGTCTCAGGGCTTGGTCATTATTACTATTACCATTTTGTTGTGGTTTTATATCTTTATCTGACAGTCGGGTTGGTTCTCATCCGCATTAACTGTCTGTAGATTTTTGAAAGGGATGACAGGTACATAGGTAACGAATGTACAGAGCTTATTTGGTGAATCTTCATCTTCATTACGTTTTTCTGGACAGCCACACACACTTACGGTATGGGACTTTCCTTATTCCTTTGGCCCAGACAGCTTTGTTGAGCCTGGTGTCAGTGTGCACATCTGGAGTTCTCACTTCCTTCCTGGCAAATTTCTGGATCTTTTTGAGTGATCGAGGGCACACTACTTGAAACCCATTGCACGGATGTGCTTGTGAAGGTCGATGGCGTTTTCTCAGGTCAATGCCTCGTTCATGGCCGAACGGCCCTTCTCATCTGCTTTGTGGGAACCATTCTGCTGGGCCCAGGTTGGAAAGGGGGAGGGTAATTGTTACTCTCATGCTTGGGGCCTCACACGGACATTCTAACCTGGTGCTGTTAGGTTGAAGGTGCAGCTAAGCCCATAGTCTGACATAGTTAACCTGTGTATTCTTGTAGCCATCCTCACTGCCCTTCTGGAAGGTGGTTCCCAAGTAGAATGCATGATTTTGAGCAGAATGAACAGTAGTATGAGAGGCTAAGAAGTGTGGAGGAAGAAAAAGTACGGACTTTTATTTCTGGATTTTCTCTTCTGAAACAAATTTCAAAAGGTTACTGCCTTAATCTAAACCCTCCATGACCACTGTGGGTTGCGTATCACATACTAGGGTTTCCCTAAGTCCGTTCCATGGTGCTCTGCAAGTGGTGAGTTCCTTGTATTGGCTAGAAAACGGTTTCAGATTATCCTTTTTCCAAGAGTAAAGTTTGGATTCACTTAAATGAAAAAGATTAGTGAGTAGTTCCTCAATTCTGATGGGAATACTGTGCAGGGGGTGAGGTGGGTGCAGGGAGGACCATCTATTATTCTCTTCCTAGTTCAGCTTTCACAAGCAGGTAAAAAGCAGATACTCTGTTGCAGAGTTTGTGCTTGTAGCTCCGATGGAGTTGGACATAAACTGCTTCCCAGTGTTCTGGGAATGCTAAGTGTTCCACACCCTGGCTGTTTGTTCCAAGAATAATTAGTTGTCCCTCAGATTGCTATTGCACTTGGCAATTCGCCAAGCCCTTTGACCTGGGTCATTTTGTGTTTGCAGCCCCGTGTGATACACAGGAAGACAACTGAAAGCAGCTTAAAATTATTAAGCACCTACTGTATGCAACTTCTATGCGGGATCTCATGTAATACTCAACAGTATTTAATTATCTGAGTGTTACTGTTGTCCTGTATTGCTTTGAAGGAGGCTGAGGGTCTGAGAAGTTAGGAGACCGGTGTAAGGTCTTGTGCCAGAGTTAAGCCTGGAATCTTCTCCTGAGCCAGTGCTCCTCCTTTGCTGCCATGTTGCTTCTTGCTCTGCAGACCTCATGATTCAGGGTCTGCAGAATCACCTGGAGGGCTTGTTAAAACAGATTGCTGGGCCCTACTTTCAGAGTTTCTGATTCGGGAGGTGTAGGCTGGGGCCTAGCATTCTACCTTTCTAGGTTCCCAAGTGATACTGTTGCTACTGGTCCAGGGACCAAACTTCGAGAACTATTGTTCCAGATGAAAAGTTCTGCTCCCTTAATCTCTTCTTCATCTTTCTTCAAACACTAAATGTGGGTTTTCTTTTCTTTTTTTTTTTAAAGTTTTTTTTTTTTTTTAATTTATTAGAGAATGAGCGAGAGAGAGTACCAGCTGGGGGTGGGGCAGAGGGAGAGGGAGGAGCAGACTCCCTGTTGAGCAGGGAGCCTGATGCAGGACTCGATCCCAGGACCCTGGGATCATGACCTGAGCTGAGGGCAGACACTTAACTGACTGAGCCATCCAGGCGCCCAGATGTGGGT